ACGTAGTATAGATTGGTATAGATTGTATAGGCACGTTTCTAGGAGAAGTTAATTGGGTTCCCCTTGACCTGATAGGTAGCCTTAATGGGTAAAATGTTGGAAATGGAACATCTAAACTCAACTTCAATTCGCACCTCCGATTTGTTGCAATATTAACTTAATTAATTATTATAAAGGAAGAGAATCAACATGCGTACCTGGTTCTTTGGTAACACCATATATTTCCACTCTAAGGGCGTATGCTTCAATATTTTCTACAGGATAGAACCGTACAAATCTAGCTGCTAGAGGACTTGGCAAGGAATGCTTGATGATGCTTGTTGACTTATTTTGGTTACCAGTAAAAACCTGAACACATCGAGAAATAAAGTTACAGGAGAACCAAAGAGTGGGAATGGAGACTTTATTCACTTTATTTCAATGCCCGTTTTTTATATTTCCATTTGGTGATGAACCTTTGCTTTCTCAATAGCAGTGAGGTAATCTAGTGCAAATTCTCAATTGAGAGATTCTAACCATAACTTCTCCTCCTACCTCCCATTTCTGCTACTTCAAGCTTCAAAAACTTGGAACTGCATGTTCAACAGATTTCTAATTCTCTTTTTACTACAAATTGTTAATTTCTCGCGCGCTCGTGGTTCCACTTAAGTTTGGATCATATGCTGGCTTCATTCCATGTTCGATTCGATAAGAGTACAGACCATACAAAAGGGACCTCGATTTGTTAACCGTATAGCCTCTCAAAATGATTGCAAATATTTAGCTTGCAACATTAGATTTTAAAATTTAGTTGAATTTCACTTCGCACACAATGCTTCATATCTTAAAAACAGGACATACGTAGACATATTTTCATAAAAATATTTATTATTGGTCATTGATTGCATATCAATTTTTCTATATTGCATTTTCTTCTTCATTTGATTTACCATTTCCTTTTCCAAAGTTTTGCTTTCTACAGGCACCCATCGTAGATCATCTATAGATCCTTTAACTATGTACTTTATTGTCCTCTCGTCACCGGTCGGGCCACCTTGTGTAGCCACAGCACACACGTAGTAAATCTCTCCAAGGTTTATTTGTAACCATGGGTTAGCATCATCGTCACGTGGTCTCCATGAGCTGTTACCAAGGAGCCTGGCTTTGGCTGAAGTCCTCGTGTTACTATAAATAGAACTTGCCGACATTCTGTTGTCTGGCACGGCGCTGCTATTGGATATACCAATGGCTAATTTTATATAAACTGAAAATAAAGAAAACATTGTATGTACTTTTAAACTATATCTATTGAATCTTCAGTCCACTTACGGATAAACATCTTCCACGCACTTATTGTATATCTTTAATACTTAATTAATTTTCCTTCTACTTAAAAAGCTGACTTTATCTCTAATTATTATATAGTTAGGATAGTACGCGCGGGCTGATTGGTCGAAAACTGTGCTTTATTAATGAACGGAGCACAATGCTTACGCCATCCGCGCGCGAAAGCTTCTGCAAGATCCTACAACCTTTTTTTTTTTTTTACTTAAATAAATTCAATACCGAAATAAAATAAGACAGATTTTTCCGTGCTTCGCTCAAAAATAAAGCACTTAAGAAGCGCCGTTAGCACTCAAGAAGCTTCTTTCGTGCTTACGTTACTTCCTCCGTGCTTTATTACTGAACGGAGCACTGAAAAAGTCGTCTTATTTGTTAATCACAACCGCAATTTCCTCAGTGGGGCAGTTCAATCAGGGGTCGAACCGAAAGCATGTGAAATCAATGATGGAAGTATAGACGATAAAACCTCTTTTAACTTTTAATAGTAGAGAATAAATGACAATTGTCAACAATACCATTGTTCAGAACGTCCACCAAGTACATATCTAAATCTAATGCATTTACCACTCCTGGGTGTACGGCTTAATGCCTAACATGCCTTGCGACCCAATTGATAAGGCAGCCGGTAGACTGAATTAGAATTTAGAAGTTGATTTTTTTGTGGAGGGAGGAAAAACCGGAGAACCTGGAGGAAAAACCCTCGAAGCACAGGAGAGAACCAACAAACAACTCTAGTCACATACGACAGAGAGACCGGCAGAGGTCGAACCCTGGTCGCATTGTTGAGAGGCGGCGCACTATCAGCGCGCGCCACCCGTGCTTCCCTGATATTTATCGTTATCATTATCAAAGTTTAATTTATTTTTATCAATCGACTGTCATTTCTTCATACTATCACTGTTTTGTATGTGTTTTCCTATACCGCGCGTAAAATCATAAGTGAAATTGCTTCGTTTTCAGATCTAAGCAAGCGATACTTTTGACCGCCAATATCAGAAAAGGTTTATTCTATTGCGTCTCCTCCAGAACCTGCTCTGTGACAAAGCTATTTTGTAGTCAGTTACCTTCAGTGTAAACTTCAACTTCACATAATAAGAGGAATCCCGCATGATTGTCAAACGTGATAGTCAAGAACCGTCCCATCATGCTTTGATGGCAGTAGATAGACGTTCCAATCCCAGACGGCAGTGGGCCCTTCACACTGTTACAAACGGGATTTGATTTACCCCCATTGCTTGAACTCCCACCTAGTAATGAAAGATATTGGTGTATATTAGTATATTAATAATTTTATACCAGGAAATTAACATAGCTACTGTCCTCGTCCTTCTCTATTGTCCTAGAGAAACACGGATGGCGTAGCGGTGATAGCCCTCGCCTTTAACCAAGGCGAACCGCGTTCGCTTCCCGAACTCGATGTCTTATTTGAATAGAGTACCAATTTTTACGAAAAAAAATTATGAATTTGTAAATAGCTACCCGCATCGATCAGCTCTATGTGTGAATGTCACCTTAATAGCCCACTTCCGAGATATGCTTCGCTTGTCACGTAAAAAGGTTTCAGTATGAGACTACGTGCTAAATGCTCTGTCATTCGTGACAGGAGTTAAGAATTAATTTAATTTAGCGTAGCCTTATACTGAAACCTTTCAGTGTGCGTGACAATCGAAGCATATCTCGGAGGTGGGCCATTTGGCTGACAACATCACGACGCCATGCAACAAAATTGCAGGTCTTGTTTCAAAAAGAAAATACTTCCTCGCAACATTAAGTATTCACCTAATCATTCTGCTGTGATGCCTTATTGTTTAAATTTAATATTAAACGGAATTATTTACCAATAAGAATTAGAAAGTCGTGCAGCCTCTCGAAGTGACTTTTCCTATTAACAATGAACACCTCATACACAGGTATACTCTGACCAAGATCAACCATCCACCAGGGCTCTTTGTCAAAGTCGTCCGTGTGGCTGCAGCTTTTATAATGATAGATTGGATTACGGTTCCCATCAACTGCACGATCAGGCGGTCCAAACCAACCAGTACTGGACTGTGTTGCTGTTTTACGGTAGGCGTAGTTTACTTTAGAGGCTGAGACAAATAGAAATTGTAGATAATATATAAATAGGCCTTTCGCAATAGATTGACATGTGATTGTTCCTGGATGCCAAAAAAATTTGGACTTCCTTTATTTAAAGATTTCATGCTGGATAACTAATGTCGTATCAAAAATCTTTTCAAAAAAACTTTTTTCCCCTTAGGAGATATTTTTGGATTTCAAGATACGAAGTAGTTTTAAGTTTATTTGCCATCCAGCAAAGCCTTTTCCAGCAGAGCCTTTTCCAGCAAGGCCTATTCTCTAGCTAGTAAAATAGGCCTTTTGCAACAGGTCACGTGACCCTTGAAAAGAGAAGTTGTCAAAATGAACATCAGAAATGTTAAGAGGACCTCGATATTAGTGAGGAGGCAAAGTTTCAGCTTACAATATGTAACACAATAGAAATGACATTAAATACAAAATCGAATATTTTATGAGAATTTGTGTGGGAAAATGTGTTAGATGGAAAAGCTTGGCTAGGGGCCACGTCGCCTATTGCTGCAAAAGACCTTATTTCTTTAACGGTTTATGTTCAAGGCGGGGTTGCGTATGAGAAGAAACACTGAATATGAATACAACTCAAACAAACAATTAGTTTATTCTCAAGAAAATAACACATGGTTTGCAATRATATGCATTCACTCAAGAAAGAGAGGGCTGTTCCATCTCTCAAGATAACCATAGGATATTTTTATCTTACCTGACCGTATTTGTACTCCATATATCTCAGCTCTCATACAAACAGCTCCATGGTGCATTATAGGTAGGATACGTAGATATCTGGCAATCATTCCTTGATACAAAATCTGCTTGACGATTCCAACACCATCCACGTTACCATAATATGTCTAGAAATGTGTCCACAATGAATAGGAATACGTTTTTCAAGTTTCCGTCTTTGTGACGTCTTCACATCAATCAATCAACTTTATTACATAATCTTATACTTGAGAATATTACAAAAAAAGGTAGAAAGTGGAACATGTTAATGTAAAAGTTACTCAGAAATAACTAAAAAGCTAATCTAGCTGAGTAACTGCTTATATTATTTAACATAAAGACGGTTGGCAAATAAAGTTGTTAAGCAGAACAATATAAAGACAAAGTGAATAACAAGTATGTAAATAATGTTTAAGTGGAAATATAGATAATTATTTACATTTCAGACATCAGGAGTTTTGCCTTCCRATAATCAAGAATTTAAAACTAATTCTTTCCGTTGAAATTTGGATGGACAGAAGTCGAATCACAAGAAAACGCGAGAAGCAAGCCTGAGTCGCAGGCTTCAACAAACGGCGCCATGTATATTCCCATGACGGTGAATACCCTTTGTTTAATCTCGCCCCGAAACGCTTGAATTCGAGGTCACGCGGGATAAACCTACTGATCCAGTTAACATGGCTGCCGCGTAAGAAAGGTCCCTCAAAAGCTATCAAGTAATTTTACAAAAATTCAAAAGATTTTATTGCGCCCTCTGACCTGTTGTGTGTTGCCATTCTCCCTGTATGGATGATAAGTCTTCCCATCATCAGAACAATTAAGCTGAAAAGTCTTGACCCMTTGTTTCGCCAAATGGTCACCCTGTGTTGACACAGCACAAATGATGTGGGGGGTCCCTAAGTCAATCTGTAGATAAGGGTTATCATCATTTCCAATAGCACACCACGATGGTCCATTAGTGTAGTTTAGTCTGGCCTGGTCACCTGCTGTCCCTGAAGATGCTGTTATCTTGTCAGCTGCTATGACACTGTTCTGCATGCCAAGAGCAAGGTCTCGACAATCATCTGAAATATAAAGTATCCCATATGGATTTTTATGCGTTTTTGGAGTCCACTATTTCAAGAGTAGATCCAGGGGGGTATATATTAGGTGGGTAGACACCCCTCTTTGGAGTTGTGACGCTGTGTGATGCCTTTTTAGGTAACAGTCACCCCCCTTGATTCTGTTCACTGTATCTTAATACTTATGAATACACTCAACAAAATCACTCCATTTTGATTGGACAAGAGGAGTACAATTAAATCCCAAATTGTACTCTGCAGAGTCCTAATTAAGGTGCTCCATATCGTTGAGCGTATTATAAATATTACGGGGGCTCTGGCTCAATAGATTACGACCACGAAGTTCTATCTTTTATTTTGGCTTCGTTCACCAATCTCGCATACTCCCTTATGCATCCCTTTCTATATGGATTTGTACAAAAATCAAATTGAATTACAGGTTGTTATAATTGTTCGTTTATTGACTAAAACATTTCAGGAGGCGTTCCCTCTTAATCTAGATTTTGAAAAAACTAGAATATCTTAATGATGAATGAATGAATCAATAATTAGTTTGATTATAGGAATAAACTACGACCTACAAGGAAGCGTTTGGTCATAGTAAGGTCAATTGCTACAGCGGTTTAAACGGAATTAGGGCACGGATTAAATGCCTGATTGATTTGATAAACTTCAGAGGGCAAAGAGTCGTAACCGGGTCACAACAAGTTCAGGGCAAGTCAGAAAGGATACATTAGACTTAAGGAAGTTCAAGGTCAAAACTTGGTTGTACGTGCCACTCGTGAAAGGCACATGACTCACGTGTTGTAACTTTCTTTTTTTGACCACACGGGCTTGTATATCATCTTTAGGACATGCGTGTTGCCAGGTTAATGATGAATTGATTGATAATTAAAATATTTTAAAGAGGAATGATATTTGTTTGATTGTTGTCCCGTGACATAAACAAAAACAGCGCACAATCTTCTCGTACAATTCGGAATTTAGGTATAAGTGATTTTAGTATTCTTATGTAAGGCCGCAAGGCATCATGGGTAAAAA